AATACGGTAAAAGGAACACAACCCTGACAGAGAGCTATCTTGATTTTAAATCATTCATTATCTCCTTGTTCTGACCTAATGTGTGTTATTTGTGTCTTCTCTCTCTTTTGTTAGGTTTGCCAATGGTCTGTCAATTTTGTTAATCCTTACAAAGAACCAGCTTCTTGTCCTGTTGATTCTTTCTATAGTTTTTCTGTTTTCTATCTCATTTATTTCTGCTCTAATCTTTACTACGTCTTTTGTTTTGGTGGCTGTGGGTTCCCTCTGTTGGTCTATTTCTAAATGCAGATGCTGTGTTAATGCTGTGGTTCTCTTCCTTCTTTTTGGATGTGTGCGTTTATTGCAATAAAGTGTCCTCTCAGCACCGCTTTCACAGTGTCCCAAAGATTTTGGTATGTTGTGTTTTCGCTCTCATTTGTTTCTAGGAACGTTGTGAATTCCTGTTTAATTTCTTCTACTACCCAGTCACTTTTCAACAGGGTGTTACTCAGTTTCCATGTATTTGACCTCATTTCCTTGGTCTTCCTATTGTTGTTCTAATTTGATAGCATTGTGGGCTGAGAAAATGCTTTGTAGTATTTTGATATTTGTAAATTTATGGAGATTTGTTTTGTGGTCTAAGACATGGTCTATTCTGGAGAATGTTCCATGTGCACTGGAAAAGAATGTGTATTGTGCAGTTGTTCTGTATACATCTATGAGGTCCAGTTGGCTGACTGTGTTGTTTAGTTCTTCTGTGTCTTTGTCAAGTTTCTTTCTGGTTGTTCTATCCATTTTTGAAAGTGGTGTGTTAAAATCACCCACTATTATGGTAGATTCATCTATTTCTTTCTTCAAATCTATAAGAGTTTGCTTTAGATATTTTGAAGTTCTTACACTGGGACCATAGACATTAATTATGTTTATGTCATCTTGTTCAATTGTCCCTTTAATCATGACATAATGTCCATCTTTCTCTATTATGCTGGTTTTTGCATTAAAGTCAAAGATTTAGTACTGTCACTCTTGTTCGTTTTTTATTGCAATTAGCTTGGTATATGTTTTCCATCCTTTGTCTTTTAATTTTTTTGTCTCTGTGTGTGAGATGTGTCTCTTGCAGACAGCATATTGAGGGATCTTGTTTTCTTATCCATTCTGCCACTCTCCATTCTCTTAACAGGTGCATTTAATCTGTTTACATTCAGTATAATTATCGATAGGTATGGATTAATTGCTGCTATTATGTTTGTTTGTTTTTTTGTGCTGTTGCTGCTTTCTTTGTTCTGTGTGTCTTCCTTTGTTGAGTTCATGATTTTTGTGTTTCTTGTGAGTTTCATCATAGTTTTAATGTTTCCTCGTTCTTCTTGGATTTTCATTCTCTTGGTATGTTGTGAACTGTTAAATTTTCTTTGAAGTTGCCTTATGGTCCATTAACTTTTCATTCCATTTAGTGCAGTCTATTCCATCCCATAATGAACCTAACCTTCTCACCATCTAGATCTCTGTTCCTACGTGTTTACCTTCTTTTACATTGTACTTGTTTTGATCACTGAAAAGAACCCATCAGTAGTGAGGGAGGGGGGCTGTCCACTTGCTCAGACTGCCCCTCTAATCACCAATATGGAGGTGTGCAAACAGTGGGAGTGCCAATGACCAGATAACAAAAAACAAAAACAAAAACAAAAAAAGAAGGGGAGGGGTTTGATGGTGGCTAGGGTGGAGGCGCAGTGAAGGTCGCCACAAACAATAGCACAGAATACCAGGCAAAACAGAGCCAGGGCAGAGCTCCAAACTCGGAACCACAGAAATAGGAATATTTTAAAGGTTTAAAGGCTTATAGCTTGTGGAGTTTGGAGCTGAAGTAAAAAATCACGTACTTTTAAATCTGCCGGGCCAGGCTTGGAGGCCTCAGCCGACATCCTAAGTGAGACCAAGAGCAGGACGAAACAGGGGGAGCAGAAACACCACAGAAAAATGCTGTGGGAAACTTGGTACAAAAGGTGGACAATATACTTTGTCAGTTTTGCTTTGCTCTGATTTACTTCTTTTTTTGGTATCAGGTAATTGGTGCGCTCACTGTTTGCCCACCTCCATACTGGTGATTAGAGGGGGAGTCTTATCAAGTGGACAGACTCCCTCACTACTGGTGGGTTCTTCTGCCAAAAAGACGGACAGATGCTCAGCCCAAGCGAAGGCGCTGATCTGTTTCCTTTTTGTTCTGTTCTTTATCACAGGGAAGAGGAGAGTGTCTGAAAGAGAGTTTAAAGGCAAAATCTCTCGGGCAGCTTTGAAGGCAGGAACTTAGGACATTAAAGACATACTTATATTAAGCTACAGATTTTTTTTTTTTCTCTTCTTTTTCTTCTCTTCCTCCTCCCCCTTTTCTGTGATTAGAGACTGCAGCATTCAGCCCTTGTTTTTGTTGGTACTGTTTTTTCTTTTTCTTTTTACCCAACTGGTGTTGTTTTGCTGTTATATAGACCCCCTTCTGACTTTGGAGAACTCTTGGTGGTCCTATGTTATACAAGAAAAGTCAGCAACCGCTGCCATATAGCCTAGCTACAATCACCCTCTATAAAACACCAAAACCCAGGCAAGAACCAATACCAGCTGCCATATACTAGGGAAACAGACAACACCTGTGAAAGTTACTCTGAGTTAAACAATAAGAAGAGTGAAAAGGGATGACCACATACCGATCACATTTTCCTGGAAGCAATCAGAAAGCATAAAAAAGTACCAAAACACATACTCAATTAAGTATTAAGGCCACAGATAAACATTAAACATGTCCAAGAAGCAAAAGCTTATGACCATATCAGCAAATGTCCAGAAAAAGATAAAACGTCTGAGACA